TTCTATCACCCTCTCTCTCTTCTCTTGATCGCCCTCTCTCTCTCCTCTTGATCGCCCTCTCTCTCTCTTCTCTTGATCGCCCTCTTTCTCTTCTCTTGATCACCCTCTCGCTCTTCTATCACCCTCTCTCTCTTCTCTTGATCGCCCTCTCTCCTCTTGATCGCCCTCTCTCTCTTCTCTTGATCGCCCTCTCTCTCTCCTCTTGATCGCCCTCTCTCTCTCCTTTTGATCGCCCTCTCTCTCTCCTCTTGATCGCCCTCTCTCTCTCCTCTTGATCGCCCACTCTCTCCTCTTGATCACTCTCTCCTCTTGATCGCCCTCTCTCTCTCTTCTCTTGATCGCCTTCTCTCTCTTCTCTTGATCACCCTATCACTCTTCTATCACCCTCTCTCACTTCTCTTGATGTGTCTGTGAGAGAGAGGGAGAGTGTGTGTGTGAGAGAGAGAGAGAGAGAATTGTTACAGCTCAAATGCATTGCAATGACTTCCATGTTAAAAAAAGACTTTAAAAAGCTGAAAGTTTTAAAAAGTATAACATATTTTGAAAAAGTTGAAAGTTTCCCCATCATGTGCTGAAAAGGCTGAATAGTTTGATATTTGAATGGTTCCTGCAGCTGAAATTAGGCTCAAGGAGTTAAATAAAGATATTAAATGTAAGTAGTAGTGAATGAATGTTTACAAACACCTGTGTGTGTAAACCCAGAGATGAAAGGTTACCATGGTGACGACTTATGACGATTTACCAACTGCAGCACTGAGTCCCATTAAGAATGCATTGAGGATTATATCTGACAATTTTGCCACCTGTTCAAAAACGATGGCTCCTATCAAAAAATGACCAGACCGTATGTGTTGTTTTTTTTGGTTTTGTGTGTAACATGTGGAGATGGGAGCAGTTTGTCTAAAGTGTACTTCTCTCTGTTCTGAATAAAGTTCTGGAAAGATTTAACATGGGAATCCATTGGGAGCTAGGTGGACCTTTTGTCTCTTCATGCCCTCAAGAGGCATTTTGTTTAATATTTTTTCTTCATATTTTTTTATTTTCCAACCTAGGAGAGGTTTTCCTACGTTTTTCATGAAAAAATATGTCTGAGGAGTGTAGGGTTTGGGAATTATGGCAAGTTTAAAACATTTTTTGAGGAGAATTTGAAGCACCCCTCCACTCTGTTTTGAGATCAAAGCACTCTAGACTTAACGAGCTGCTCCATCCACACTAATGTTAAGACTGAAAAAGGCCTCTCTACCAAGCTCCAAACTAAGTTAAATATCTCAAAAAGTGTAAAAGATATCAAAAATAAAAATCAATTTTGAATAGCTGAAGGTCTTGGTGAAATAAGGGGAAGAACTAGAAAATGCATTTCCTGCAGAAAATGCGTGCGAATGCTGTAAACTATGAACATTTGTGGCTGAATTTAGCTGAAAATGCAGAAAAAGCTGAATATGTTATTAGCTGAATGGTAGCTGCTTTTAGCTAAAAAAATGCAGAAAAAGCTTAATATTTAAAAGAAAAGGTTTAAAAAAAGGTATAAACTACAACATGTATAGCCTTGATGTCCTGAAATAGCTGAATAATGTAATAGTTGAATGGTTTCTGCAGCTGAAAATAGGCTGAAGGAGTTAAATATCAGATGTAAGTAGTAGTGAATGAATTTGTATTAAGATGAGAAAAGAAAGTAAAAAGGCTTGGGAAAGCAGCAGAATATTTGAACTGCAATCTTTTGAACTAACTTGATGGTGAATTATCTGTCGCTATGGCAACGGCATTTGATGACACCCCATAATACGCTTAGATGTGTTGATGGCTGCATCGTTACCAAACCTGTGAAGTTTTGGGCCATTTCGAGCATTTTCACTGAAGTTATGAGAAAACCGTGTTTCATGGCGAGCATTGTGTTGCCATGGCAACGGCATTTGAAGAAATCTCAAAACTGTCCCGTAGATGTCTTCACGGCTGGACTGTTAGCACACATGTGAAGTTTGAGCACTTTTTGAACATTTTCATAGGAGTTATACATTACATTAGGAGGTTACATTACTCTCTCTCTTCTCTTGAACGCCCTCTCTCTTCTCTTGATCACCCTCTCAATCTTCTATCGCCCTCTCTCTCTTTTCTCTCTCTTCTCTTGCTCGCCCTCTCTCTCTTCTCTTGATCGCCCTCTCTCTCCTCTTGATCGCCCTCTCTCTTCTCTTGATCGCCCTCTCTCTCTTCTCTTGATCACCCTCTCACTCTTCTATCACCCTCTCTCTCTTCTCTTGATCGCCCTCTCTCTCTTCTCTTGATCGCCCTCTCTCTCTTCTCTCTCTCTTCTCTTGCTCACCCTCTCTCTCTTCTCTTGATCGCCCTCTCTCTTCTCTTGATCGCCATCTCTCTCCTCTTGATCGCCCTCTCTCTCTTCTCTTGATCGCCCTCTCTCTCTTCTCTTGATCACCCTCTCACTCTTCTATCACCCTCTCTCTCTTCTCTTGATCGCCCTCTCTCTTCTCTTAATCGCCCTCTCTCTCTCCTCTTGATCGCCCTCTCTCTCTTCTCTTGATCGCCCTCTCTCTCTCTCCTCTTGATCGCCCTCTCTCTCTTCTCTTGATCGCCCTCTCTCTCTCCTCTTGATCGCCCTCTCACTCTTCTATCACCCTCTCTCTCTTCTCTTGCTGCACTCTCGTCTGGGCGCTGTGCATAGCGCCCAGACGAGAGAGGGTAATGATACACGGGCAAGGCCAGGCAGGAAACATGTGACTTATCAGTAACTTTAGACATCGTAACACAATTTTAAACGAGATTTTATTGTAGATTATACATTTTACTGATACCAATTATATAATATTTACCTTGTTTATTAAAAAATGTGGGAAGAGGGGGGGCGGCGCCCCTAGCGCCCCTATGGGCCGGCCGCCACTGCATTTTAGTTCTTACTCTTTTTCCTAACTGATGGTATGTAATTTGGTGGTGTGTGTAGACGGTGGAAGCAGGGATCCCTGCCTTGATCCCTGCCGAGACAACGCACAACTGTTGATTGGTGTCAGTGCCAGAAACACTTTTTAGGAGCAATGCGCTCATGGTATAGATGTAATTTGGTTGTGTGTGTAGACCACATGTCAAACTCAAGGCCCTTGGTGGATTTAATTTCGGCCCGCAGGATAATGTTGAATTACTATTAGATCTGGCCCGCCGGTATATTGCACGCACACCTTCACTCCATCCTGAGGATTTCCTCAGCTCAGAGCCTGAGCCCAAACATTGATGAACTTGCACCCAAGATGAGATGCCAAGTATCTGGCTTGAACTAGCATCACAGAGCAGCAAACTGAGTTTAATGGATGTTTCGTTCTGCATTTTTCTTTTTGCAAACAACAGGGCATGTTTGGTTTTCCTTTGAGGGAAATGTTTTTTTTTAAGCTGTTGTTGGTCTGTGGGAAAATGTAATCATAAGAAATGACTCCGGAAAATCTGCAGATAGAGCCATAAGAAATGAATGCAACTGATTATTTAATGTTTAATGTTGTTTTTATAGGCAATAATTTAAGCTTTGTTAGTTCCAGGTTTAATATGTGCAATAAGTTCATTTCAATAAGTTATGCAATAAACATTGAACCAGTCCGGCCCTCGACTAGTACCGATTTTTGAATTTTGGCCCACTGTGTATTTGAGTTTGACACCCCTGGTGTAGACGGTGGAAGCAGGGAGAGGCATATACGTGCCTTGATCCCTGCCGAGTCGACGCACAACTGTTGATTGGTGTCAGTGCCAAAATAACTTTTTAGGAGCAATGCGCTCATGGTATAGATGTGGCGCATACATCTTAGTTCCTACTCTTTTCCCTCACCTATCCTAAGGGAGTGCATGTACGTAGACACGTTAGTTTTGCTGCTATAGGCTTAGACTGTCGGGGGACACCTTACTTCTTCCTTCTGTCTGTCTGTACCTGTGTACTCTCATGTTCCGAATAACCCAGCTTCCCCCAAATTTATTTTTGGTGTCTATCTATGCCGGGATCCTGAGTCGTGGTTGATCCTGTTGCTGCGGTCCTGTGTCCTGGACCCTGAATCATGTGTCCTGGATCCTCTATCCTGAATCATGTGTCCTGGATCCTCTATCCTGAGTTCTGGATTTGAGTCCTGGACTTCGAGTCGTGGCTGAACCTATCACTGTGGTCCTGCCTGACTCTCATCATACTACTTTCCTGATGGCTCCCACAGGATTGTTGACATCCTTGTGGATTCATCTTCTTATTATAGACACATGCATTTCCAAACATTTGGTCTACCTATGCTGTAAAATGTATTATCTCTTCGATTTACACACGGCATCTATTGCACGTCTGTCCGTCCTGGGAGAGGGATCCCTCCTCTGTTGCTCTCCCTGAGGTTTCTCCCATTTTACCCTTTAAACTGTGGGGTTTTTCTCTGGAGGTTTTTCCTTGTACGATGTGAGGGTCTAAGGACAGAGGGTGTCGTATTGTCATACTGATATTCTGTACAAACTGTGAAGTCCACTGAGACAAATGTAACATTTGTGATATTGGGCTATATAAATAAACATTGATTGATTGATTGATTAATTGATTGATGTGATGACTACTTCCATTCTTGCAAGGATAATAAATACAGTATCCTGATTATTGAAGCTCAAGCCGGTGACGAGTGATATTTTCCTAACAATGCCATCTGTAGTTTTGCAAAGAAAACGTACACATTCCAAGTTTGATTGGGATTAAAGACATTGTCCACTCTCCTCTAAAATATTAGACATGAACTCCAATGACATGAATTTTTTCTATCTGTTTTTGTGCCCTTGGATTTATATAAATGTATTTTTTACCCGTTACAACCTTTCTGCAGGTGCAGGATGGATCTCCTGGCAGCTGTACAATTGATTCCTCTTAATTCAAATGAGCTTCCTACCATTGTTCATGTTGTTGTATTGTTCATGTGCAGTATAACATATTAAGTAGACCTCTACAAACAGGTAACATAATAAACGTAGAGGATTTTTTTTATTCATCTCAGGTGGTGTATTTCACGGCTGTGTTCCCCTATGTGATGCTGGCCATCTTGCTGGTCAGGGGGTTGACGCTGCCGGGGGCCTGGCAGGGTGTGGTCTACTACCTGTATCCAGATCCTTCTCGCCTGGCGGACCTTCAGGTAGACCCTGCACAGTTTCACACCTACCTGAATTGAATACACAAAAGAAGGTAGATGAAACAAGATCCTCCTGTGACTGATATAACGCTGATGACCTAAATACGTGTTTTTTCAATCTTTCTTCATGAGGTGTGGATGGAGGCTTGTGCCCAGGTCCTCTTCTCCTATGGTGTCGCATCAGGAACCCATATCACATTGAGCAGCTACAACAAAGTCACAAACAACTGTTACAGGTAAGTCATGTGATCAGTAGCTCCATTAATATATTGGGAGCTTTTGTTAATTGGGTTTTTATTTTCTTTGAGTATCTGCCACGTACAGGATTATATAATAATGTATGACTGCATTCAAACAATACTAAGAAATAGGGGATGAAGTGTAGCTTTGCTTTCATTTATAAATCTCAAAGATGAAAACTAGAACTACCTTAAGATATAGATACATCTAGGGTCAATAAGAACATCAAAACTACCTAAGGACGGATTGTCCGCCCAACAACATAAAGTCTATTACTGTCAGTACATTTTCCCACTGAGTTCTGCTCTGCATACTGAGCTTTGTGTTTGTGTATGCAGGGACAGTGTGTGGTTATGTGTGCTCAATAGTTGCACCAGCTTAGTTTCCGGGTTTGCAGTCTTCTCATGTCTCGGATTCATGGCCGAAAAACAGGGCATTCCCATCGAAAAGGTCGTCACATCAGGTACGATTTTGCAAAGCTACCATCTCTACCATCTCTCTCAGAATCAAAAGTGCCCTCACAACAATTCAAATGTCTCTTCTGTCCTCGCAGGCCCGGGGCTAGCATTCATCGCTTTTCCTCAGGCTGTTGCCATGATGCCCGTGCCTCAGCTGTGGGCCGCCTGCTTCTTCATTATGCTCATTCTGTTGGGACTGGACACTGTGGTAAGATACACCACAAACGGTTGGTGTCCTTCACATAGGATTAATTTAAGATATGCTGCAACTGTTTATGCTGTATCAGTGAACACACATGTAAAAACATTGGAGAATTTAATATTGGAGAATTTAATATTAATATAATATGATGGCAATGTAGTCGGTCAGTCAGTCGACCACTTTAATATACACTAAAATACCTTTAAAAACGTTGGATGGATTGCCATCAAACTCCACTTTCCAAAAATAATGAATTCCCTGACTCTCTTCCCTTGAACATTGCAGACTGAAGCTCAGCGCTAACTTTTATACGTTCTGCCTTGGCTCCAGAAACCATTACGCCGAAAGTCCCACCCAGTTTTCCAGTCGGTCTAGTAATATGTTGTGGTCAACAGTGTCAAACGCAGCACTGAGATCTAATAATACTAACACTGAAGTTCTGCCACTGTCTGTGTTTAAGTGGATGTCATTGAAGACCTTTACAAGAGCAGTCTCAGTGCTGTGGTTTGGACGAAAGCCTGACTGGAACACATCAAAACAGTTATTTAAATGCAATAAATTACTCAACTGTTGAAAAACTGAATGGGAGGTTTGATATGGGCCTGTAATTGTTCATTACTGAAGCATCTAGATTATTATTTTTTTAAGAGCGGTTTAATGACTGCCGTTTTTAGGGCCTGTGGAAAAACACCTGAGTGAAGAGATTTGTTTACTATATGAAGTAGATCTGAGGCCATGCAATGAAAAACATTTTTGAAAAATCCTGTAGGTATAATATCAAGGCAGCAGGAGGAGGATTTCAGAAGTTGAATAATGTCCTCTAGGTTTTTATCATTAATCTGATGGAATTGTGTCATGGTGTTTGAATTGATTTGAAGTGGACACAGGGACAAAACATTTGCTGTACCTGATACAGAGGCACTGACTGATTGTCAAATTTTCTGAATTTTGTCAGTGAAGAAGGAGGCAAATTCATTGCAGGCCCTGGTGGATAGAAATGCAGAGGCTACTGACACTGGGGGGTTTGTTAGTCTGTCAACGGTAGCAAACAAGGCACGTGTGTTGTTTTGGTTTTTGGCAATGATGTCAGAGAAGAAAGACTGTCATGCATTTTTCAATTGCAAATTATAAAAGCCAAGTCTCTCTTTATAGATTTCAAAATGAACCTAGAGATTTGTTTTTCGCCACCTGCGTTCAGCTTTTCAACACTCTCTTTTTTCTGTTCTCACGGTCATGGCCTTTCTCCATGGAGATATTTTCTTTAATTAAAATGATCTACTAGCTCATTTACTGAGATGTTAGCAGGGGCAAGTGTGGAAGAAAAATTCTGAGTAATCATTTCCCTAGTATTTTCAGTTAAATATCGCTTTGTGGTTACCTCTTTTTGAACATTTTTGTGAACAGAAATAGAGCTCTCAAAGAAAACACAGGAATGATCAGAGAGTGCAACATCAGTCACCACAACCTTAGAGATATTCAGACCCTTTGAGATAATTAAGTCCAGAGTGTGCCCCTTATTGTGTGTGGGCTCCGTCACATGCTGAGTCAGTCCATATTTATCAAGAACACAAAACAGTTCTTTAGCCCCTCTGTCCTGGGGGTTGTCAACATGGATGTTAAAATCACCAACAATGACTAGACGGTCAAAGTCAATACACACTATAGACAGCAGTTCAGTAAAGTCATCAAAAAAGCTTGCACAGTATTTGGGTGGTCTATAGATAATTAGGAACAGAGCTTGAGAGGAGCATTTCAGCTGAAGGGCCACATATTCAAAAGAAGCAAAGTTCCCATAAGATGTCTTCCTGCATTGAATGGAATCATTGAACAAAATAGCAACTCCACCTCCTTTCTTATGCATTCTTTCCTGACTTATAAAACTGAAGTTGGGAGGTGTTGATTCGATAAGAACAGCTGCACTGTTATTTTGTTCAATCCAAGTTTCTGTTAAAAACATAAAATCGAGATTGTGCTCAGTGATAAAATCATTGATTAAAAACGTTTTTCCTGCCAAAGACCTGACATTTAATAAAGCTAGTTTAAGTTCGTTAAATACACTATCAGTCAGATTTTTTGTGACAAGCTGTGGCTGACATGGAATCACTGCTAAATTTGATAAACTCACACAAACGTTTGAGCGCTTCCTGTTTCTAAGCTGATTCAACGCTCTCAATCTATTACCTATCAACACAGATATCGGCAAAGCTACTGGCAGGCAGGGCCCCGGCTTGTCCTGGAAAGAGTTGAGAGTGCCATACGCCCTTGAGCCTCGACCCAGCACATATCAGTTAGATTTTGCTGCGTTTTATACACACACATTCTTATCAGGCTTCGGAGACCGCAGATGCTGTCTTGAAGGGGGGGAGGTGATTGACGTAGGCACGGTGATGAAGACGGGGGAGATGGTGCGCGTCTCTGCTTCTGTGATTGTGGTGGGCGTCGTTGAGGGGCAGGGGTAAAGGACATGCTGCCAATCCTGCGTATCGCCTTCATGCAGTCATTGATCTCCAGGAAGGATTTGGTGCCAACCCTCTGTATCTCCTTCATGTGGTCGAACTCCAGGAGGGTGGGCGAGGGTGAAAGGGTGAACGGAGAGTAGAGAGAGCTGGGGGGTGAAGGAAGAGTATCCTCAAAGGTGATAGGGGGGTTGAGGGGTGGTGGCGACTCCTCCATTTGTGTCATAGGTCTCCCATAATCAAGACATTCCTCAGGCGGGTGCAGTGATACTTCTTCAAGGTTTTCTGCGCGATTTGTTGTGTCTTTCTCTTGTTTTGATTCCTCTTGTTGCTTGTCCTTGGCAGAGGGAACAGATTGATGATGCAGGCAGTTGAATATGATCGAGATAAACAATTTCACTCCTGACTTGTTCAGACAAACTCCATCTGCCTTAAAAAGATGTCTGCGGTTCCAGAAAAAGTTACAATTGTCAATAAAATGGACAGAATGGTCAGTACAGGCAGTTGTAAGCCACGTGAGTGCAAACAATGCTGAATCTCTCCACTCCTCTTCTGACTGGCGGTAGAGGGCCACTGATGAACACCTCCACATTTAGAGATCTGACAGTTTCCAACAGACATTTAAATTCTTCTTTCACCACATCTGACTGTTGTTTCACAACATCATTTGTTCCAATGTGCAGTACCACATTTTTCACAGTCGGATGTTCAGCCCCAATATGCAGGATATTCTCAGCCAAGTCAGAGACCATATCCTTGGGAAAACAGAGTACTTTGGTGTTGTTCTTACTACACAGACTTTTTACATCACCCACAATCAGAGTTTCAGGCCCAGTCGTTAGCTTTCCCTCTAGCCTTTTATTTTTGGAGTAGCTATTGGTCCTTACCCTGCTGTGTGAAGAGGACAGGTTATCCAGGTCATCAGAAAGAGATCTCCGTTTCTGGGTCAGCGAAGCGTATCTGTTCTGGATTGGCACACTTGGTGTTTTAGGAGGATTGTTTGTAGTTCTCCCTTTAGCAACTGTCCACGGCTGTTTCCTAGTATGAATAAGGGTTGAAGAGGTGCTCTTCCTGGGTGATAACAATGCAGGCCAGCCGGTCGCATCACAGATTTCAGAGCGCTGTGCTCTGCCTGTTATTCGTCCTCCCAAATCCCATGGAAATGATTTACTCTTTGGCTTTGCACCCAGAGAGTTCCAGGGAGGACTACCACTTGTAGATGTATTACCCGGTACACAGCCCTCCTGTTCCTTGGAATCCTTGTAGCTGCTAACTAGCTGTGAGTTAGCATGCCTTTGTCCATTATTTTGCAACACTGGTAAAGTGGTGTCATTCAAACCTAGTCCATTCACTTCCACGTTAACTTCCAACCGATGCATTTTCATTTCCAACACGGCCATCTTCTGTAGAAGTTTGTGGACGTCATCTGTAGAGAATGGAGGCATTTTGCTGCTAACTAGCTTAAGCTAAATAGCATGCAGTACCAGGCTTTAGCTGTTGCTAAACCACGCTACTGTAAGACTGAGGTCGTCGTAAAAATATTGAAATATGGCTGAAACCCTCCATCTATTTTAGAAGAATAACTGTCCCAGTGATATGTTAATGTCCGGGAGCCGCTGCTCGAAGTTTTCAGAAAAGAAAAATAGGAAAATCAGCATAAAAAAGTAAGCAGAGGCAAGAGCAAGCAGAAAAGCGTCTGCACTGTAAGAAAGCAGGAAGCACTCTTCTTGTACACATACAAGGAAGTGTTTTTCCGTTACCCTCCTGCACTCACACAGAAATAAACAGAAAGGTAAGAAAAAGAAGACAACAAAGCCTAAAAAGAAAAATGGATCTGAGCAGGAATCACAATTGAGCTCTAAAGGTACATTCACACAAAACGCGATGCGATTTTTTCGTGTGTCAGGATTACATGTAAAGTCAATGCAAAGACGCGGATAGACTGCAGTGGCGCGAATGGCGCAATTGGCGCGTCATTGGCGAGAGTTGAAATGTTTCAACTCGAGCGACAAATTTGCGTGATGCTGTCTCGCAAAAAGCCAATCAGCGTTCAGAATCTCTGACTCTCGTCACTGACGTTGAATCAGAAAACCAAAACAGCAGCCTTTGGCTCTGGGTGACAGCACACAGAGCTCACAGCTCCTCATATCTGTTCAGAAACTGGAGAGAAGTTATTAATGTACAAATCACAGAATGTCTGTGGCATGGTGAATACAGTCGCTGCTTTATTCATTTCTGTATGCCCCACCTCCTCACCCGGGCGTCTTGTTGGAGTGACGCGACTAGACACAACTGACAGCCTTGGTCAAACTTCTGCGAGTAAAGCGATGCGTCCGATGTGAACGCACCATCAGGCTTGTCGTTTAAAAGTAGTCTTAGTGTTCATCCAAAATCATCCAACCACAATTGTCTAACTAATTAAGTTTTCTCAAGGAAGGTTGCTTCAGAGGGAAGCTTATTCTCATGTGGGCCACTCCTGCAGCTCTCCGTTGAGATTAGTCTCACTGATACCCCTTTCCCACCGAACCGGTTCCAGGGCCAGTTTGGAGCTAGTGCCTGATTGCGAATCAATTCTTACCGTTTCCACAGCAGCCGGCCCTGGAAAATAGTTCTTATTTGAACCCAAAAACTGAGGATCAAGAACCAATTACAGAATACATCAAGTTTATGTCGGCGGCGGGCGGGTCTAAATAGAAAAACAACAAAAAGTCACACGTTTTATTCAGCAGCATACACTATGACAAAATCATGAATGCAAACTTCAAGAGCAGTGGACAGCGGAGGACACGAGCTAGCTCTCTGGTATTTGGTCCTCACAAGAGATTCAGAGGAAGTTGGAGGGGAGTACCAGATCGGAAGCCAACTTCACTGGAGCAAATGGTCCATGTGTCCTGTAGTTTTCTTAGCAAAAGCAATAGATCACCAGTTCACTTGACAGGCACCATGTGTAACACATTCTTTGAACCAGACATTGTGCGACATAATTTTCTTCTGGTTTCTGTGGGAGAGTTAGATTTGGAGTGACCACATTTTGCAAGACCCATTATCCCAAAAATACTTCTTGTCTTTGTGTCATTGGTAAGAACATTGAGAGTATGCCATGCATAACACCTAGGCTTCAATGGTGATTGTACCTCCAGCATTCAGATAAGGCCCCATACTTCCTACATCTTTTAGTTGAAATGAAACTAGCCATGTATGGAATGATAGTGAAAACCCAGCTAGGCTCATTACTTTTCTGTCTGCTTGTTTGTGTCAGTTTACAGGTTTGGAAACGTTAACATCATCAATGATTGACATGTTCCCTGGACAGATGCGCAGACCTTGGCGCAGAGAAATTCTCCTCGTAGTCTTCAGCTCTTTCACCTTCCTGTTACAGATCACTCTCACCACACAGGTACTAAACAGGCTGGCATTCCCCCTCCCAAACACATTGGCTAACATTTAGCATGTTCTCATATGGGATGAGTATTTAATTGACATTACCTCTTCTGTGTCACCCAGGGAGGAGTATACCAGTTTGAGCTGATTGATTACTATGGTGCCAATGGGATATGTCTGCTATTTGTGTCTTTGGTCCAGTGTGTGGCTGTTGGCTGGGCCTTCGGTAAGTGCTATAAGTACCAAGGTTCAGTTATGCTTTAGTTAACCACATGCAATTTTAATATTCAGCTATACAGTATATCTAAAACGTTTCATTTGTTAAAAGTACCAAATCTTTTTAGGAACCCTTTCTGTCTCTTAACCATAAACACAATGGTCTTAATTTCACACACCTTATAATTTACATCCAGTGGCAACATGTAGAACCACCCTTAAAGTAGTGTAACTGTAATGTGGAGATGCGAAAGGGCAGATAGAGAAACTTTTCTGGAATCTCAGCTGGTTCATATTGATGATAACAGTGTCTTACCCACGCCAATAGTCCAGCACATATCCTTTCATAAACCACATGCTGCTCATTGACACTTGATTTTTCTCTACCTGAAAATGTCTTTATATAGGACAGGGGTGGGGAACCTTTTTCCTCTCAAGGGTCATTTCAATTTTTTCAACATCCTCCGAGGGCCATACAAATTATTGACCTCTGCTTAAAAATACTAAAATCACAGCCCATTAATTTCTCCTTTCTTTCGTGCTGTGCAAAGAAAAAGCAACCTCTTAACCTCTTACGCACCGCCCCCCCGGTACCGGGCGGATAAAGGCGTCATTTGCAGGAAACAACGTCTAAGGAATCTTAATATTTAATAAACTATGAATGTTTTATATCCATGTAACGGGAAGAAACTCAGCTAACTGATCTTTTTAATTTTTTTTCTCCAAAAGAAACCCACAATGCTAACAGTCAGCCTCTGAATTAGCCACGAGCGAAAAAATGCTAACCTATCACTGCACCGAAACTCACTCATAACTCCCTTATTACTTATCCTAGATGCACAGCCAACCCATCGATTAGCATCGTCTGGAGACACAGAATCGATGGGTGCCCACCTCAACACTCAGTGATACAAACTTGCGACTCTATAAACAAAAATGTACATCAAAACATTTGGCGCTAGGTAGCTACAAACGCTAACATGGCTTACCTTGGTCTTTGTCTGGTCAAAACTGGTCTTCAATGGCATTAAAACGATAAAAAAAACGATGCTGCAGTTAATCCATAGGTTAATCCAATGTGTCTGTGTCCTCTTTGAAATGATTTCTGATAATCCATAAGCAATAAAACTGCTTTTCCGTTTCCAGATGTCAGAGCGAGAGATCGCTTCACTCTGATGCAAGCCTGCATGCGCAAAGCCCCCACCTTTTTGTGTTAATGTTGGTGTCTATGTGAAAACCCCCCTTCGATTCTATTGGCTCTAACGGTCAGGAAGAGATTACAATCACCAAAATCGACCAATGGGTTCCAGAGAAACTGTAAAAACGCCCATTTACACCCAAATCACCCCAGAGGTGGGTTTTTTTTTGCTAAACCTGGCTAAAAAGGTCAAATGTCACTTGTTTTGCATCAATCTCGATACAGGGTACTTATTATATGTTGTACTTTGGATTCCTAAAGCTTTTAGTCTACCATCCCATCATTCAAGGGTGGTTTTCACTATAAGTAATGGTTTTTTTTTAGGCGGAGGTAAGAATGTACCTTTTTTTACCATGTTCCATCTGAATTTATTCTGACTGAGAAAGATCTATATTGATTCTGACACTTCTACATCCAACTCACAGATGTAACCTTGCTTTGATCAAATAAATTATTCATATAACCCTTTTAGAAGTTAAGTTGTAGTCATTTGTTTTGGGCATGTCATTTTCGAGCCTGAAACATGAAAAACAGGCTTGGTGCTTAACAGGTTAATCCAGATATCTTACCATGACTCGCGTATGCATGCATGTGCACGGTTGTGGCATGACCACCAAAACAGAAAGATATGGACACAAGATGTGTGCAAATGTATTTAGTTTCCTATCCATGTGAACATGATTTAAGTCATGGGGGACCTAACCTCCTCTAGGCATGCTCCCCCGGGAAGATTTTTTTTAAATGTTGAAGTTAAAAGCATCAATCTGGTGCACTTTGAGAGCAACATTAGGAGATCTATGGATACATCTCTCAACATCCATATGAAACAGACCTGTAAGCAGATTTTCTTTTTCTTTATGGATATTTTACAAAGCACTCTCCTTTTAAACTGTATTATTGTTTAACTGTATTAACAACTTTTTTTACTGTCATATAGTATTTTATACCTGTTTACTTTATTCTCTTATTTTTTTACAACTATAATGATCATATAAAGATGTGCCTTTACCTCACTGGTTGTAGAAAAAGCTTCTTATATTCGTTAGCATAGCTAGCTAACCAGATGCTAATAACAACAAAGTTATTGACTGTCTGATCAGTATGACAGATGAACAGATCGCCACTGGGCTTTCAACTAAAGACACAGCCACGCAAAAACTGCGGCATGTGTACGGCTCCTTATGGGTACTGCCATTTGTGAAGTCCCGGCCCGGAGCGGCGTTCTGGTGCTCTCCTGCAGAACTGCACCCCTGTCAGACGAGACCTATACCACGTGATGACACGTTAGGCTCGTGTTGTGTTCAAGAACCCTGACCTTGGCCGGGAAAAACAGGCACTCGCTTGTTTAATTATTTTGCGGTCTAGATTTCTTTAATTTCTTTCTTTTTTGCGTGTGTTTATAAATTACCTCGAGGGCCGTACCAAATGGTCTCGCAGTCCGTATACGACCCGGAGGCCAGAGGTTCCCCACCCCTGATATAGTAGATAATTTTTTAGATAAATCTGACTTTTTTTATTTGGTCTATTAGCCTTAAATTGTCTTATGTTAGTTTTAGGGCTTCATAAAAAATGTTTGTGTTCCAATAAGTTGTTAAATGCCAATCCATTGGTGTGACGTACATCGTTATTTTACAGCAGGAGGTCCTGTCCTTTTAAAATGTTACTAACAAACAGTTTTAATAATGCAGGGGCTGAGAGGATATGTGATGCACTTGAAGACATGACGGGACAGAGGCCGGGGGTCTTCTACACTGTGTGCTGGCGTTACGTCACCCCTCTGATCTGCACTGTGAGTTACACACAAGTCTGAAAGAAAGTAGAATGCATGCCTGTGATGAATACAACTATAGTGAATTTTAGGAAGGTGGGGAGAGTCTATCCAGGCTCTGTGTATATCAAGTGTCAACTAGATTTAATTGAATAAGAAAGTGAAAAGTTGAAATTATTAAGAATCTAGGAGGAGCAACTGCAACAGGCTGCATGCATGACTAGCACACACAATTGTAGGCCCAAATAAACACTCTCAGCGCTTTTAGAAATGTTTCTATGAGACTTCCGGTGAGGGCAGCGCCATGTAGAGACGGAGTTTTGTTGAGCTCCTCATGAGAACGACTAATGTCAGAATATTGCTCTTTTAAAACCACTTGAACTGACTCCAAGCGACTTGATACACAAGTTATATCCATAGCCAGACGATTGCTGAGTAAATATGCCGAAATATCGCCAGGGAAACAACAAGTTGGAGCCGGCGGCGGAGGCTAGCGCTAATGCTAACCTGGCAGACGACGCAGACATCAACGACCAACACGTGGTACTTAACGCTATTGCGTCTCTTAAACAGGACCTGGTGGCGAAAATTGAAGAAAAGGCGATAGCCCAGTCGGCGGAACTCCAAATACAGACTACCCAGATTCGGACGGAATTACGAAGTGTGGTGGAACAAGTCAACAAAATAATTGAAGTAACCGAGGGCCGAGTATCTGAGCTGGAGGCTGAGGTTAGCAACCACTCGGACTCAATCACCTGCATGACATCAGATGTTACTGGTATGAAAAAAGAACTGGCCACACTGAGGGACCGTTGCGAAGATTTGGAGGCAAGATCACGTCGCTGTAATATCCGCATTATAGGAGTGAAGTAAGGACGGGAGCATGGGAAGCACCCATCTCAGTTTGTGGCTGATATGCTAAACCCTGGACCGGGCGCACCGCGCTCTCCGCAGCAGAGCGACACAAGACGGGCTCCCACCGTGGGCTTTTATTGTGAAATGCCACTATTTCTCCGAAAAAGAATCGCTGCTAAAGAAAGCAATAGAGATGAAATCAGTGACGACCCCCGACGGTGACCAGATCCGGCTTCTGCCGGACTTTACTCAGGCGGTGAGTAAACAGCGGGCAGCCTTTACCGAGGTGAGAGGGCTGCTGAGGGGCTGCGAGGGAGTGCGCTACGGCCTGAAATACCCTGCCATACTGATGATCACAACATCGGAGGGCCGCGGGGCAAGTTTCAGCGATCCAAAACTGGCAAAGGAGTTCGTTCTTAACAAGGTGGTGCACAAGGCTTCATAATGGACATGTTCTGGTGAGTATTGGCCAAGGGCTAAAATTCCAGCTCCATATGCTGTAGATGGAGACGAGAAACAACTCGGCCGGACAATATATGTGGTTATGTTTGGGAAATATTTTCTTTCTCCTTATCTAGAATTCTCAGGATTTGTGACAAACTGTAAAGCATTAACTCATCACTGTACCCTGTATGCAAGGGCTGGTCTGCCTTCACTAACTGTACGGAGGCTCAGTCACTGGTACATTTTTATATATAAAGCCATGTTAGGGAAACTTCCATCCTACATCTGCTCCCTGATCTCACGGTGAATTGTAAGTGGCTACTGCCTGAGATCGCATGCTGTGGTTTTATTAAATGTGCCAACTGCTTGGACTGTCTTAGGGAAAATAGCATTTAGATGCGCAGCTCCACTGTCCTGGAATAGTCTGCAATTAAAATGGAAACTGAGCAATCTGTTGCCACTAAATGTTTTTAAAGCTTGGTTAGATGCTACTGAATCGGAAGCTGTTGGTACCTGTGCATGTGGATAGTATGTAATTTGTAATCCCTGTAATGCTACTGTATGATGTCCTTTTGTTGTTCTGTTTATGTTTTTAATGTTTCATGTGGAACCTACTTGAGCAGGTCTCCCTTGAAAAAGAGGTCAATGATCTCAATGGGATACAACCTGAATAAATAAAGGTTTGAAATGAAATGAAATGAATCTAGAATTCTCAGGATTTCCCATTTGATAACGTTTCTTTTTTCTTTATTGTTCTTGCTGGGAAAAAATTTGAGGCAAGCCACGTCACGGACAATAATATCATTGTGTAACCATATGGGACATTAACGTTTTATTTTATTGAGCCATAACATGTTCAGGGCTGTTACATTACCTAGCTGATATTTCAAACTAGGATGTCGCTATATTCAGCATTGCCTGGTCAGCTGAAGAGAAGAAGGAGCTATATTGAGTTAATTGTTCAGTTCCCATGGGGGGCTCACATGGTAAGCAGTTTAGGAGAAGAGGTTTACTGGAAGTGCAAGCAGTCTCCATACGGGAGACAAGCATAATGTTTGTTGTGTTGTCATTGTGTTTTATGTTTGTGAAAATGTATGTGTACAAGTGCTCATCCTCCCCTTCCCACCCTTTTTTGTTTTGTTTTTGTTTGTTTTTGTTTTTTGGCTACAACCCTTTTACCAAGCTCAGGGACTCCCCAATGCAGTATCATAAATTGAAGGACCATATCGATGGCGTCTGTAGATAAAGGTATAGGCAGGGCGGACACCACAGTGGTGAGTTGGAATGTAAGGGGATTGATTGAATCACCCGGTTAAGCGAAGCAAGGTGTTTTCTCATCTAAACAAATTAAAAACTGAAATAGCACATTTACAGGAAACTCATTTATTAAATAAAGACCAGCTAATGCTTCAAAGAGCAGGATTTACACAGGTTTTCCACTCCGATTTTAATAGCAAGAGCAGGGGGGTAGCTATTCTCCTGCACAGAGATGTGCAGTTTGAAAAGTCAAAATCCATAAGGGACAAAAATGGTCGTTACATAATTATTCAAGGTAAACTGTTCAATAAGCCAGTAGTGCTTGCGAATGTGTATGCCCCAAATTGGGATAACGTTGATTTCTTCAGGAATCTTTTCTCACTGTTGCCAGGGCTAGACTCGCATGAATTAATATTAGGGGGGGAACCTAAATTGTGTCCTAGACTCTGTGCTAGATCGTTCTGGCAGTAAGGTCACCACACTTAATAAATCAGCAAGCTGCATAAATACATTCCTTCAAGCCTACGGAGTGATTGACCCCTGGAGATTTAAATACCCGACTTCCAAACAGTTCTCTTTTTTCTCCTCAGTACACCAAACCTACTCTAGAATTGATTGTTTTTTAATAGACCAAAAACTATTTCCCATAACTACAGAGGTGGAATACAACAGTATAGTCATATCAGACCATTGCCCAGTACTTTTGAAGCTCCGTTTTCCGGAAAATATACTTCGCCAACGCGTATGGCGCCCTAATCCTAGACTGCTTGCGGAAAAAAACTTTGTTGACTTTATAAACACACAAATAGATGTCTTTCTCGAAACCAATGAGTCCCCAGAGATAAGTTATTTCACACTATGGAAATTCAAACGAGCTACAGAATTGATTGATAGGATTAAAGTGATTGACCGATTACATTCAATATCTCCTTCGGAGAATCTTTACAAGGAGAGAATTTCGCTTCAAGGCAAGGCAAGGCAAGGCAAGTTTATTTATATAGCACCTTTCAACACAAGGCAATTCAAAGTGCTTTACAAAAATGGAAGACATTATGAAAATGGCATTTAAAATCAGTCATTAAAAAGAAAAGATAATAAAATAAACATTAAAAGAAAAAATACATGAATAAAAGTTAAAAGTTACAGTGCAGTTTAAAATGTGAATAGTTCAATTAAAAGCAGCGGCAAAAAGAAAAGTCTTCAGCCTGGATTTAAAAGTAGTAAGAGTTGCAGCGGACCTGCAGGTTTCTGGGAGTTTGTTCCAGATATTTGGAGCATAATAACTGAATGCTGCTTCTCCATGTTTAGTTCTGACTCTGGGGACAGAAAGCTGACCAGTCCCTGAAGACCTGAGAGATCTGGATGGTTCATAATTTAGCAGTAGGTCAGACATGTATTTTGGGCCTAAACCATTCAAAGCTTTATAAACCAGCAGCAGTATTTTGAAATCTATTCTTTGACACACAGGAAGCCAGTGTAAGGACTTCAGAACAGGAGTGATGTGATCCACTTTCTTAGTGTTAGTGAGGACTCGAGCAGCGGCGTTCTGAATTAGCTGCAGCTTTCTAATAGATTTTTTAGTGAGACCTGTAAAGACACCATTACAGTAGTCGAGTCTACTGAAGATAAAAGCATGGACAAGTTTTTCCAAATCCTGCTGTGACATTAGTCTTTTAATCCTAGATATGTTCTTTAGGTGATAGTAGGCTGATTTAGTAACTGTTTTAATGTGACTGTTGAAACTCAGGTCAGAGTCCATGACTACACCTAGATTTCTGGCTTTATCTGTTGTTTTGAACATTGCAGACTGAAGCTCAGCGCTAACTTTTATACGTTCTGCCTTGGCTCCAAAAACCATTACCTCAGTTTTATTTTTGTTTAATTGGAGAAAGTTCTGACACATCCAGTCATTGATTTGTTCAATGCACTTACTCAGTGTTTGAATTGGAGCATAATCTCCTGGTGAAATTGTTACGTAAATGTGTGTGTCATCCGCATAGCTATGGTAACTTATTTTGTTTTTTTTCATTATCTGAGCCAGTGGTAGCATGTAGATGTTAAAGAGAAGAGGCCCCAAGATGGAGCCTTGAGGTACCCCACATGTCATATTCGTCAACTCAGATGTGTATTTACCTATAGAAACAAAGTTTTTTCTGTCCTTTAAGTAGGACTCAAACCAATTTAGAACTGTTGCCGAAAGTCCCACCCAGTTTTCTAGTCGGTCTAGTAATATGTTGTGGTCAACAGTGTCAAACGCAGCACTGAGATCTAATAATACTAACACTGAAGTTCTGCCACTGTCTGTGTTTAAGTGGATGTCATTAGGTGCGTTCACACCGGAGTACTTTGGTGTACTTTTCCCACAATAGTTCATCAGAACTACGATATATTTGCGTTCACTCCAAAAAGCCCCAGGAACTAAAGTAGCTCAACTTAGTTCGCGAGACTCGCTTTTCAGTCCCTGC